AAAAAATGTCAACTCCTCTTCTTTATTAATTAACAGGGTGATTTGTGTATTTGACCATTTATTTCATTTTACTGTAGTGTTTATACGGCTCATTTGATTTTTTAAATTTTTGCATGATACAGTACACTACTATCAAGCATTCGACTGGTATTAGCTAAACTAAAAAATTCCAGGACTGGCTTTGGAAAAATTAATTTAGGGATTCGTATTAGATATTACACCCTGTATATATATTTTTTAAAACGCAATAAGTGATTTTCAAACTACATAAATAGCCAATGAAAACGACATATGCAACAATGTTGTCGCACTTTTATTAAATTTGTAGTGAACGATCAAATCTTACCAAAAAATAGAACAACCATAGTGAAGTATCAAATTATAAGGTATTAATTTAAACAAATGTTATACATTTCAAACATTTTAATTAAAATGTCACTTTGTATTATCTCTACAATAGAATCAATTGTTTTTCAATTTTAAATTTTTACTCATAGATCGTATTGGGGCATTATTTTCGATAAATAATAAATTAAATTGATTAAAAAGTCAAACCTCTTGTATGTGTTAGTTTTTGTTGATTGTAAATGATCAAAATTTTATGTCAAATAATAATACATTGCATCAACTGTACTAAATAAAAATAAATCTAAAAAAGTTTAAAATGAAGGTTGGCGTTGACCGTTTGACGTTTCTTGATATTTTATACCCATTGTCATTATTGTCATTATCAATTGTTATTTATGTGTACAAGAATACATATTTCTTCTGTCATATATACGTTAAGTACATCGTGTTAGTTTTGGTAGAGCTTTTGTTACTTTCGTTCAAAATGCCACATCAGTTTTCGACCACAGAATATGCAGACATAATATTGTTTATGGATTCTGTAATGGGAACAGTAGGGGTGCTAGTAGAGAATATCGCAGGAGATTTCCTAATCGTCGAACTCCCAGTCATCCAACATTTGGGTCAGTTTTTAATTATTTTGCGAGAAAATGGCAGTTTTCCTAGTGGAACAACAGAGCGACATGTAGATGAAACATAGGAAGATGACGTTATGGACGCCGTTACTATGAACCCTACAATAAGCACTAGACAAGTAAGTCGAGAACTCAATGTTACTCAATCAAAAGTAAGTAGAGTCTTACAAAAAAATAATCTATACCCATATCACATTCAAATGGTTCAGCGACTACATGCTGGAGATGAGATCGATAGGTTGGAATTTTGTAGATGGATTAACAATAATCGACCAACGCTATACAGGACACTATTTACAGATGAAGCCCAATTTACCGGAGACGGGATAAATAATTCACGAAATTCACATGTGTGGGCAGAAGAAAATCCCCATGCTATTCGAGAACGTCGTTCTCATTTAAGGTTTTCGGTTAACGTGTGGATTGATGTCATAAATAACCAATTAGTAGGTCCTCACTTTTTTGATGGTCCTTTAACAGGGCAGGTCTATTTGAATTTTCTACAAAATATTTTGCCGAATTTGCTTGCCAACGCGAACGTTGCTATATGAGGGATGTATTTTCAGCATGATGGAGCACACCCACACTTTTTACTGGCAGTGAGACAACATCTCAATAATGTTTATGGCAACAGGTGAATAGGACGTGCAGGTCCTATTTCGTGGCCTTCAAGATCCCCTGATTTCAATCCCGTTGATTACCATATTTGGGGACGATTGAAGCAACTAGTTTACGCAGTGAATATTAATAACCGACAACAATTAATAGATAGAATTATACATTGTTGTAATACTATTAGAAAAGATCCCCAGAGTATGCGTAATTCAATACGTCAATTAACAATTCGGCAACAAAAATGTGTACAGGCTGCAGGGTTCCATTTCGAAAATTTATTTTGAATTATTTTTATTTTGTTACCATTATTGTATCTTTTCCAGTTCTAATTTATGGGTTTATCAGAACTATGTACATATTTTTAGTTTTTTTTTAATTGTTCTTCGTTATTGTTAGTAGTTACTATTTTTTGTTGTGCAGTGACTCAGTTTATCATTTCAATTAAAATGTTTGAAATTTATAACATTTGATTAAATTAATTACCTTATAATTTGATACTTCATTATGGTTGTTCTATTTTTGGTAAGATTTGATCGTTCACTAAAAATTTAATAAAAGTGCGACAATATTGTCGCATATGTCGTTTTGATTGGCTATTTATGTAGTTTGAAAATTACTTATTGCATTTTAAAATGTATATATATATATATATATATATATATATATATATATATATATATATATATATACAGGGTGTGATATTTAATACGAATCCCTAAATTCATTTTTCCAAAGCCAGTCCTGGAATTTTTTAGTTTAGCTAATACCAGTCGAATGCTTGATAGTAGTGTACTGTATCATGCAAAAATTAAAAAAATCAAATGAGCCGTATGAACACTACAGTAAAATGAAATAAATGGTCAATTACACAAATCACCCTGTTAATTAATAAAGAAGAGGAGTTGACATTTTTTAGTGGCCACATGATATGCTCCCTGAGGGACTCTACATATGGTAGAAGTATGTAAAGTTCCTCATGACTCACTCTGTATATATAAATATATTATATATATTATATATATATATATATATATATATATATATATATATATTAAATATATATATATATATATATATATATATATATATATATATATATATATATATTGTTATATGTAAAATCGAGAAAAATATTGGTTTGTTTAAAATATTTCAAAATTCAAAAACATTAAAATAATTCAGATAAGTAGGAGAATAACCAACAAACATTTCGAAGAAGGAAAGTTTTTAAATTTTTGGATTACCTGTATTAAACAAAATGTAAGCTTTGCATAAATTATTTCCTTTGTTATACTATACTTGAGGAACCCGCATAATTTTAAGTGAAATCCAAAGAACAATTGAACCGGGTTTTCCAAATACATTAACGCAGTGATTAAAGACAATAGAAGAGATTTTAGAAAGAGGTTTTTGTTAGTTTTTAAGAATTGTAGAAAAATATTATTTGTAAATAAGTTTTAGGAAATTTTATAATTATAGGTAAAAAGTTGTTTGTTATCGAAATGAAAAAATGGGGAAATTGTGACGAGTTTTGATTGGCGGAGATTGAAAAAGGTGGGATAGGTATGTAGGAATGCAAGTTTAGCTAAATTTAGGAGTGAAAAAAGATAGTTAGTTGGTTTCCAAGGGTGCAAGGCGAACGGCCGTTGTTCTCGGGTAGTTTCCCAGAGGTAGGAAGCAGTAGCAGTGAAAGTTTGTGAGTTTTCTCACCAACTTCTCTGTTTCCTTGACTGCTGCTTTATGAGGTGATGCTGCGGATATCCTAAGATCGATTCCTAAGGGTCAAAAAAATGTTACCAGACCTTGTTTGTAGACAGACATTATGGAGATACAAATTTACAAAAAGTCTACAAAGTATAAATAAGAAATAGAATTCAACGATCAAGTGATAATTTGAAGCAGATGTTGCTCGTATAGTGCAGTTGGCTTACCCAAAGGCACCATACAACATATTGAAAGAAATTACTGTAGTTACCGTCGTCAATGGGTTGAGCGACAGTGAACTACAGAAAGCTTTACGACTAGGAAGACCGAGAGTTTTAGATGAAGCGCTCGCCATTGCCTTGGAGCACGAAACAGCTAGTCAAGCTTCACGAAACTATCGAGTCCGAACCTCTGAAGAAGGCGACGAACAAAACGATAAACGTCTGGAGGAAATCGTACGGAAAACAGTTGACAACGGAGATTGAAAAAGGTGGGATAGGTATGTAGGAATGAAAGTTTAGCTAAATTTAGGAGTGAAAAAAGATAGTTAGTTGGTTTCCAAGGGTGCAAGGCGAACGGCCGTTGTTCTCGGGTAGTTTCCCAGAGGTAGGAAGCAGTAGCAGTGAAAGTTTGTGAGTTTTCGTGTAGTTAGTGTATCTGACAGAAGCTGATCCAGTAAAATATTGTAAGTCATATTTTTCTACTTATATTCCAAGAGTCACTGTTCAGGCCAACGAGAGATTCAGTTTATTGAGAGAAGAAGAAGCTAGCATAATTTGAACGATTCGTGCATTTGAAGGAGATCATTAAGGACGAGATACTTGCAATAATTTATTGTAAGATTGCTGATTACTTAGGGAGCGGCCACGAGTAAATAGTATAGTCTACAAATAACAAGGATTTGGACCACTCATCATCAGAGAGAGATAGTTTTGTTTTCTGCAGTTTTTCTTTCATTGATAACACAATTTTTTACACTTAATTTAGAAAGGATATAAATATTTTGAATAGGAGATTTAGAGTAATACTTGGATTTTGAGATTTCAACTAATATTGTTTGTACCATTAATTTTGATTGTTCACGTACGTAGAACAAATTTTTGAGAATTATTATATGAGATTTTGTTTATTGAAAACTTTTGAGTGTGAATTATTTCATTATTTTTATTTCAATATATAGTGTTAGATCATATGTGTTTTTTATTATTCCGGTATTCTTTGGACCTTACCTTTCACATGTAATAGCATAGATATTGAAGCACGAATTTAACCCTGAGATAAAAGACTTAAAAATTGTGATAGAGTCATAATCATATCATTTAAATAATTTTAAATAATCAAAAAATTAATTAGCTAATTATTGCTTGGCGCACCAAGACTTTAAATATCACAATAATATATATATATATATATATATATATATATATATATATATATATATATATATATATATATATATATATATACATATATATATATATATATATATATATATATATATATATATATATATATATATATAATGCGAATCCGATAATAGAGTTCCATAGTGCTATATAAATAGTTATATAACCTGATATGAGCTGTGTAAATTAAACAACTAATTTATAACAATAAGCAATAAGGCTAGTGTCCAGGTGTAACAAATGGTGACAAATAACTTGTGGTTTAAAATGGGAAAAAACTTGAAATACTTACAACTGGTTTGTCCAGTCCTTCCCTCAAATGGCAATTATTACCATAAATAATTATATTATCTTTAAGAACTTGTTCTTCTGTAATTCTACAACCTGCTCCTATAGTGCAACCATTTGATACAGTTACTTTATTTCCAACAAAGCATTTGGATTCAAAAACATTGTTGCTGCCAATTTTTGGAGATTCTACAGTACAGTCTACTTCAAAAACATTAAAAGGACCAATTATAAGAACTGGTGTAGTGTTCTCTTTGTCTTTTTGATCAAAGGGTATCCTAAAATGCAAAAAGGGATTAATTGACAAATGTGCTCTTATGCAATATGAAGAGTTCTCACTTTTTTCTAATAATAAATATAAAGATTTCTCTTTCAATCAAGAACTTTTTATTGAAAAAGAACATTATGAAAATTTAAAATTTGTTTTAAATATTTGATTACCTACTTACTATTTGTAAAATAACAGATTGAAAAATTATTTTTTTAAATTTTTACAGAAAAGATATGATGTAGTGGAAAAAAAAAGATGTTTGTAGAAATAAACAATGGGCACCAGTATAGTAAGAGGGTAAGACCTCTACTTAAGAACTTAAAATTTATATCAACTGATTATGTGCTTTAGTTAGTGATCATAATTAGTACTGGGTGACACAAAGCACCATTAGATAAACATCTACAAATTAACATGATTTCTTAATTCTTAATATTGTTTGGAAATAATTTCCGGAATGGAAATTGAAATGAGAACAACGAATAAAAAATGTATTTTTTATTATAATAATTTTATATAAGTAGTTTATATTTTAAATATGTTTTGTTTTTAAAAATCACTACCATAAATCAGCAAGAAATTACAGTGCTGAAAATCCTTTCATTCAAAATAAAAATTAACAGATTTTTAATGACATCTTAACATTTTATTGTTGCCTACTTTTAACATAAAATTCATCGAGCAAAAAGACAGAAGAGGGAATGTAAAGGTAGTGGGGGCAAAATGTTGTTAGACGGGAAGTGCCATTTTGAGAGGCCACATTAAACGAGGAAAGAGAGTCTCTTTCCTTGTTTAAGAAATCAAATTTAGTTAGGTTATGTTATTGTTTGTCCCAACTGTCACATGAAAGCTTATTTATATTTAAGGTTTTTAACAATTGTGTCACATTTTAGACTAGTATCGTTATCTAATTAAAACAGTTTTAAAAAAAGTATTTTAAGTGTTTGGAACATAGTGCTTATAATATTGAAACATAGTCTTAAATTTGGCGCTTCGGATATGTCCGCCATATTAAGAGGCCACTTTTATGAATTCTGGTCTCCTTTTCATAACGATTAGATTCCCCCTTTTGTCTTTTTGCTCGATAATAAAATTACTGCTTTGTTATTAGAAAACTGTCGATTTTAACTGTTTTGTAGAAAATGAGTATGTTATACATACACTCTTGTAACGAACAAGTTAATTTAGACGTACCCCATATAACGGTTGCATCTCTGTGGCGTGAAGTTAATTATTTATTTTAAAAATAAACTGAACGGTGACTTTTGAAAAGCCTTTTGAACATTTAAAAAATATGTGTGTGCCTGACGAAAGATGCGGCTTGCAGAACTGTCAATAAAACAATTACGTGAACAACTTGAAGAACGAGATAAAAACTGCAGTGGGTCCAAGAAGAAGCAGGGTGTTTTCGATCAGCAGAAGAAGCAGTTTTAACGAAGATCGAAAAAGTTCTATAAAAAATTATGATAGATTCGAGAATGTTTCCAAAAGATTCGACGAAACGTCTCAAATTATTAGAGAATCAGATAAGACAAACCGACGGGAAATTCGAAAATATTTCTAGAAGATTCGACGAGACGTCTCAAATAATTAAAGAAGTATGTAGTCAGAATAATGAGAAAATTGAAGAAGTTTATAGAACATTTGATAAGGCAGAAGAAAAGATCTAACAGTTAGAAAGGGATAAGTAATACGAAAGTGTTACCACCAGTTAATACAGTAGTTTTATATTCTGTAGTGAAAGAAGAATCACCGATAGACGAGACGACACATCATATGAGATTAAAATTGGCACCATTTGTTGGGAAGTCTTCTTGGTCCATATCATCATCATCATTAGCCATTTTGCGTCCACTGCTGAACATAGGCCTCCCGTAAATAATTCCATTGCATCCGATCTTGAGCAACTTGAATCCAGTTAGACTGGATGCGCTTTAAATCGTCCGACCACCTTGTTGGAGGACGTCCTCGACTACGATAAGCATCGTGTCTAGTCCTCCACTCTAAAATTTTCTTTGTCCATCTTCCATCTCTGACCCTAGCAACATGTCCTGCCCAGTTCCATTTCAGGGTTGTAATTCTTTCAACTGCGTCCGTCACACCAGTTTTTCTCCTTACTATCTGACTCGAAACTCTGTCCCTGAGTGATACGCCCAACATTGACCTCTCCATCGCTCTCTGTGCCACTTGTATCTTATTAATTACTTTTCTGATAAGTGTCAATGTTTCTGCTCCATATGTCAGAACTGGAAGTACACACTGATCAAAAACTTTTCTCTTCAAGCACATGGGAATAGCTGATTTAAAGACTTCCCTCAGTTTTCTCCGGTTTTCTCCAGTCCTATTCTCCTTTTTAACTCTGTTGTTTGATTGTCTCTTCCCAATTTAATCTCGTGGCCCAGATACTTATATGAATACACTTGTTGCCTACTTGAATGCCTCTGTAGTTAGAGGGACAGAGGGTGCTAAGAATCACCGGAGTCAACCAGGCTACCTTCATAAACGACAACGGCAAAGAATATGGTTTATGGCAACATACAACACAAGAACATTGATGGAGGACGAAAAACTAGTTGAACTGGAAAACGAGCTGAATCATATAAAATGGGATATACTTGGATTGTCCGAAGTACGGCGAAAGGGTGAAGAACAAATGGTACTTCCGTCGGGAAACCTATTGCATTTTCGAGGAGAGTCTTCCAATGGTGGCGTAGGATTTATGGTAAATAAAAAACACACAAAGAATATACTCACAATTAAAAGCATAAGTGATAGAGTTATATATCTTATCTACACTCTTTGGTCCATATACCTTAGACAATTTGAAGCTATTGCGACAACCAATCATTGGACATAACAAGAAAAGACTGTTTCCTTGACTGCTGCTTTATGAGGTGATGCTGCGGATATCCTAAGATCGATTCCTAAGGGTCAAAAAAATGTTACCAGACCTTGTCTGTAGACAGACATTACGGAGATACAAATTTACAAAAAGTCTACAAAGTACAAATAAGAAATAGAATTCAACGATCAAGTAAGAATTTGAAGCAGATGTTGCTCGTATAGTGCAGTTGGCTTACCTAAAGGCACCATACAACATACTGAAAGAAATTACTGTAGTTACCGTCGTCAATGGGTTGAGCGACAGTGAACTACAGAAAGCTTTACGACTAGGAAGACCGAGAGTTTTAGATAAAGCGCTCGCCATTGCCTTGGAACACGAAACAGCTAGTCAAGCTTCACGAAACTATCGAGTCCGAACCTCTGAAGAAGGCGACGAACAAAACGATAAACATCTGGAGGAAATCGTACGGAAAATAGTTCGTGATACGATGCCGAAGAAACTCAAACCCATATGTTGAAATGGTGGCGACATAGGTTACATTCGCCGTAAATTGCAAGAAAATAATACAACAGTCAAAAGGCTAGAACAGATCGAACACTGGGCTGGAAAAGTTCAATCAAAAGCTGATGCTCTGTCAAGACGGCTATGCAGTGCAAATTGTACTCACTGTTTTAAATTAAAGAAATGACTTTGCCATGTGAGGCGAAACATCGTCATTAATGATCAATGGCAGCCTTAACAGCTACAAGACGCTCAAGCAGATAATCCAAGTATTAAAAGAGTATTGGATTGGATGCGTCGAAGTGAGAGACTTTCTTGGCAAGTTAGTAGTGAAGGTAGTCCAGAAGTCAAGTCCTACTTGAGCCAATGAGATTGCCTAGTATTAAAAGGTGATCTTCTGTATAGAACCTATGAGAACAATGATGGTACAGAATCTAAGCTTCAGTTGATCGTACCTAAAATAAAGTGTCAGAAGTATTGCGTCAGTTGCATGACGGTGCATCAGGTGTACACTTTGTTATTACGACGATTCTGCAAAAGATTCGAGAACGGTTCTATTGGGTGAACTGTAAAGATGATGTAAGAAAATGGCGCCGGAAATGTTTGCAACAAGTAATGGTCTAGTTAACAGTTGGTAAAAATAGGGCACCCATGAAACAGTACAATGTTGGTAGTCCTATGGAAAGAATAGCATGGAAATAAATATAACCTGGTAGCCATGGATTATTTTAAGCAATGGACTGAGGCCTATGCGATACCAAATCAAGAAGCTGCTATCGTTGCAGAGGTACTTTAAAGAATTTTTCAGCCGATTTGGTGATCCCTTGGAAATCCACTCAGACCAAGAACGAAACGTGGAGTCAACATTGGTGTCAATAAGAACAGAACGACTCCCTTGCATCCTCAATCAGATTTATTCACATCTATTCATTTATTCACATTTATTCCTAATGGACTACTGCTCGGCCGTGAATGAAACTACATGCCAAGCTTCAACCTGCCTTATGTTGGGTTGTGAAGTTCGTTTGCCCTGCGACCTAGAGTTTAACTGAAGCCATTCTGAAGAACATGTTGCAAGCGAAGAATATATTGACTGTCTGAAGTTAAGAACAAACAACATTCATGAACTTGCCGCTAACACATCCAGTTAGCCAGTGAGAGAATGAAAGATCAATATGATTCTCGATACAAGAATGAAAGCTTTGAAGTAGGTGATCTTGTTTGGCTTTATACTCCACAACGTCGTCGAGGCTTGTCTCCTGAACTACAAAGACAATGGGAATGGAAGGTCCGTATGAAATTAAAAAGTGGATAAATAACGTAATAAATCTAATTGACAAATTGCCAAAGTAAACCAAAGGTTGTTCACATAAATTGGCTGGCACATTATGATGGTTCAAATGAAACAGAAGAAGCCCGAACCCTTCAAAATGAGATCAAAGATGACCGGCGACCAAGGTTTAATAAATTTATGTCAAATTACGCAAAGAGAAGGAGTGCTAGATTCGGCGTAACAACAGAAGTTTAGCAGGATCTTTTTAGTGTTCCGCATAACGTCTTTCTAGCCCACTGTGTTGCCCAAGATCTTGAAATGACTAAAGGAATATCGTCCGTATTCAATAAGAATTTCAGTCGCTTGGATGAGTTAAAAAATCAGCATCCTAAAGTTGGAGAAGTACTGCCATTAGAAGATTGTCCTCGATCTTTGCTGTATATGGTGAACAGAAAGCCTTATACAGACAGATACATACTATGAGAACATATGACGCGCTCTAAATAATTTGAAGAAAATCGTGTGCAATTATAACATCAAGAATTTAGCCTTACCAAAGATAGGCCATGCACTAGAAAATTTGGATTGGAAGATTGCAAGAAGCATCTTCTTCTTCTACGGCACTACAGCCCACAATGAGCCTTGGCCTCCTTTATTTTTTGCCTCCACCCTTGTCTGTCTGTGGCTGCTCTTCTCCATACACGGACTCCTAAAAGTGCTTGTGCGTCGCTGCTTACTGTGTCTTCCCAGCGCTTTCTTGGCTTTCCAACTGGTCTCTTTCCCTGCATTCTGGCGTTCAGTGCTCGTTTTGGTAGCCTATCCTCTCCCATTCGTATCACATGTCCGGCCCATTGCAATCTTTGTATTCTAATGAAGTTTGACAGGGGTGTTTCCTTATACAGTTGATAGAGCTCGTTGTTATATCGAATTCTGAAGATTCCGCAAGAAGCATACTTCTTCCGAAAAACTGGAGTACAAATTACTGTGTTTGGCATTGACCCAAAGAGGTCTTGCCCTTCAAAAACAGTAGACTGTTATTTCTTTCTGATGGGTACATGCAGAGCTGAATAGTCCTGTAGATTCCTCCATCCTGGGCCTATAGAGTTGCTGATAAGGACGCTGAGATCAAGTTCTTATAAAATAATTCAGGTAATACCAGAAACATACAATACCTAGAAAGTGTGTTTTAATCTAAAACCATTCCCCCAGTGAGAAAGAGAACAAATATGTCAGCAGTCCTTGCGCATCTTTCTAATGGGCAGGTTTTTTCCACCATGTAACCTTCCCACTACTAACAATCCCAAACCTTCCCAAACAATCTCCAAACACAAGATGAACAGCAACTTAAATATAATTTAGATGTAACAGACAAAGATAGTGACATTGCTATTGTCTTCTGTATAATCGAGGTTGGATTATTCTACTGATTTATTTTTTTTTTATAAATTTAATGTTAATGAATATTGCATTTGTTAGATATCATTATATCTGTAAGTAAATCTTGAAAATAATAAATATGTGTGTATATATCTTTAAAAATGTTTTTTAAAAGGCAATTGAACTTATTATTATATTACTTAAGTATTTATTCCCATGTATTTGATCATAATTATTGGATTGAGATCATTGAGCTGGATTGAAAACCAGCTCAAGGCACAGAGGAAATGATGCGCACTGGCTTGAAACTGGAATACTATAAGCAAGACTGGAATAGGAATGGTTGTGGTACTGCGATAGAGAAGGCAACAGGAAAAAAACCTCCTTTATATTTCCCCCAAATCTAAATGGCAGACAGAAGCAAGAAAATATTCCTCAGTTCAAGGCAGCCCTTAAATGGGGAGAGGGTGAGAAGAATCCCCTGTCAACTACTATTGAGGTCCAAGGAGGACGATAAAGAATCCAAATATATGACAGTATAGTATGCATTGCCACCTGTAATGTATGCAGCTTATTCATGTATGGGAAAATTGCAAACACTGAAGCCAAGATGAGAAGAATAAAAATAGACATCTTGAGGATGAGTGAAGCAAGATAGCCTGGTTCAGGAAAACAAATATAAATATAAATTTTGCTTACTGTTATGCTACTAACAGTAAGCCAGAATCAGGTTTAAAGTGTAACTGGGACTGTCAACTTTCAAGTATTCAAAATTTGATTTGACTGCTGGTTTGTTAGATTTTTCATCTACTATAATACAAGAAGTTTGGTTACGTTGGGTTTATACAAAAATTTATTACAAAACATTATTTTATATTTTTATAAATGCTTTTCAATCCATCAAAATAACAAATTTGTGCACATATCTACTATATTGTTTTGTAAGATGTATAAATTTTGCTAATTTTAAAACAATATGTATCTTTTCATATGACAAGATATATTTTAACTTTGAGACAGTTGGACAGTTCAATTAATTGGTATTAATGTTAACAAATAGAAATGAAGAGACTCAGAAATCAAAAAAAGAATGGCTACTGGTAACACCTGGATATAAAGCAAAATCATAAGAACTGAAGCTAGAGAAATGGGAGCAGAAGATACTCAGAAGTATATAAGGAGGTATAAAAGATGGGCATATCTGGAGAAGAACACATAATGAAATAATGCAAATATATGGACATCAAAAATTTTAAACATTGAGAAAGTTTAAAAAGTAAGATGGCTCAGACATGTAGCTAGAATGCAGGAAGGAAGAGTCCCCAAAAGAATTATTAAATATTAAAGCTGGCACAAAAAGAAAAAAAGATTGAACAAGAAGATAATGGATGAAATCAGTAAAAGAAAACTTAAGATTGTTTGGAGAACAAAACTAGGAAAATCTAGCACAAGATAGAAAGAAATGGAAGAAAACCATTGAAGCCTTGGGCGTCTATAAAAATCATTGATACTTATTATTTTTTCCTTCCATTTGTTATGATTAAAATTGAAATTTTGAAATTTCATTTGTTATGAGAATTTGTTATAAAAACATCAAAAATTGAGCTTTTTCTACTTTTTTGACTGTCCAGGCACTGAAAATTGCACATTTTAAGGCCTACCTTTCTAATAAATAATTACAGAACAACAATTTTAATGAAAGAATCAATTGTGTAGCATCAAACTAAAAGATATTTAGTCATAATTTTATAAGGACTAATTGATCTTCGAGTATAAATAATATCTTTTCAATTTAATAAATCCTTATACTTAATAATAATCCAGATGATTTTCACATTTGGTCTCATTGAAGATAGGTTAAAATGGGTTTGACAGAATGAAATATTGGTGTTTCACAGTGTTGAAATTTAGATTACATATTAATCAATTCAATGGGACCAAATGTGAAAATCGTCCTAATAATCCTTCAATAAGAGGTAATTTTGCTAATTTTCTGACTTATAGCTTACACAAATCTGAAAATTATACTTATAGTAATACCTGTGAACTATTTTCACTTGCTCCTCAATGAGACAGTTATCTCCAATGATAATCGGCCCAGCTTCAGCAATAATAGTAGCTCCAGGATGAATAATAGTCCCTGAACCAATGGTTATATCACCCCTTAACTTGCAATCTTCACAAACTAATGCACCCGGGAGAATTTTAATGCTAAAACCATAGAACTTATTTTAATCTTGCCCAAAAATGTATAGGTAATCTCTGTTTACCTGTTTCTGGCCATTCTTGCGATTATCCAGTTTTTAGTTACCAGACTATATAAATATCGTGGCTAATACCACTAATACCAAAGAATATAGGTAATACGTTTAAGTAAGTTACAACAATAATATAATCATAATAAATCACTGTAATCAACCAGTAATCAACCAAAATATAACCTAAAATAAAAAAAATTATATTCTCTTCTTTTCTATCTTATCCTATTGCAGTATTACGCGCATATAGAGGTATTTTTATTCTATACTACCACGTATTTATATTTTATCTGATAAATGCCCTAGTAATAGGGCTCTTTAAATAATTTGTTTTGACGATACTTGCTACAATATAATCTGAAAAGCATAAAAATACAGTATAATGTGAATTCTGTGAATTTTTTCAGATAATACAATGATATAAAGACAGAACTTTCCTCCTGGACCTGAACTGTACAGACCAGACCGTCATCGGTATAGTAGCTACTGTCAAACGCGGTAGAGGTCAATTTTAGATGTCACTGTCAATCACATTTGTCATTCTCTGTCATTTTAAAATGGCTAGTGCAAGAACTCTTTTTGGAATTTTAGGTTCAAAACAGATATTAATTTGTTCAAATTCCCAATTTACTTCTAAAATTTCAAGAACATTTCTTCATCAATGCTTTAGATGTCATAAACCTCTACTGCTAAATTCCTGGTCAGCTAATAATTTAACTCAAAGTAAGTGACATTTCAACTCACATTTTTATGTTTTATTCCATAAATCCTATCTGATAACTTTTAATATTTTTCTTCTCTGTTTGTGCCAAAGTCTATACAACGTAATTTTGTAGATTCTCTACTCCAAAAAAGAACATTTCATAATTCACACAGTTTCAATGCCGCAAGACGGGATTATTATGAATTATTAGGAATAGGTAAAAATGCTTCAAATGCTGATATTAAGAAAGCCTACTACAAATTGGCAAAAAAGTACCATCCCGATGTAAATAAAAATGATCCAGAAGCATCTAAAAAGTTTCAAGAAGTTTCTGAGGCCTATGAAGTAAGTTTATCTGTTTATATAATAGACTAGCTGACCAGGCGAACTTTCTACCACCTTAGAATAATGTAACAGATAAATGTTCTGTTAAATTATTAGCTGGGTTATATTAACTTTTTTTTTAATAGAAGCTGATTTGGTAAAAAAAGGAGCTAATTCACATGGCAATAAAGTAACCATTTACTGAATGGATTGTGCTCCTGTCCAATATTTTCATTGAAAATAATTCACACCATCATTTTATCACAACACCTTAATAACTTCCTTCTATTGTGGTTTCACCATTGGTACATTCATTTGAACAAAATGGTTTATTGCATCTCAGTTATATTCACTTTCACATTCCAATTCTCAATTGAAACCATCTCATAATTCACAATTTGTAGATAGCATTCCGAACTTGACCAAAAAACTGCTGTAAATGACATAATACATGTCTACGCAGAGTTTTAGACTATAAACACTTTAAGAATTTGCTTGCTTAGACCTTTGGTCTAGGTAGACATTTTTGAAAATCAGGCATTAAAACTTTTTTCTAGTGTTATTGAAAGATATTTTTTTTCCTTTCTTTTGGAAATTGTACTGTTTATCAGGTCCAAAGATATGAGGGATATACCACCTTTTTTAAGTTTCTTGTTTAAGTTCAGAATTTTACTCTCTTAGATTGATTAGAAATACATCACACATATCATAAGTGTCTCTTAAAGGAACAGTGGATAATTAATTAAATTCTATGTTAAAAATGGTATTATAAAGCCATTCTTTGTTGCATCCAAAGTAATGTTTTTCAAATCACATTCTTCCTTAAACATCCTCAATATTTGAATGACTCATTTTTTACTATTTTTTACTTTATTATTAGATGGCCCCTTTCATATTTTGCTGTATTTAACATCTCCACTACTCCAATATTTCACAAGTGCACATTGAACAAAAGATTTTAAAATATCTCAACTATGCAAAAAGAACTTACTACCACAGATTTGAAATCTCCTTCCATTGTAAAAAATATTTCCAATTACAATGGCAATTTCTGACTGCAGTATCTGTTTGTTTTCTTTTTCTCTAAATACAAGTTTCTTCCACATCAGAAAATAAAACATGTCTTTTTTTGATCTATTGTTGTCTCATGATTCCTAAACTGTTGGTGAATTTGCTAAGGACCTAAGATTATTTTGATGTATTTAAAATGCAGTTTCAATGAGGTTCTCACAGTTTATTTTCTTTAATATTCTTCTTAGGCTTTGAGGATTTATATTTTTAAAATGCAAAAAGGCTGATGTGTTTTGTACACACTTATGACAAACAAATGAATTCAAAAGAAAAACATTTTGTGTGTAAAATATTTAATTCCTGCCAAAGTGCTAGTGGTTTACAAAGCCATCTTCAGAGCTATGGTCAAAATTTAAAAAATATCACTATGAAAGAGGGTATTCAGGTATTGAGGACATAAGAGAGGGTATTCAGGTATTGAGGGACAGACAGAATTTTCTGTATGTTTAGTAATAGTAATTTTGACTGTAGCTGTGCCTATTTGTACATTTGGAACCTTTTGACACCAAATATTCTTATAGACATGTATTTTGTTTAGATTCTGGGAGATGAAACTAAAAGAAAGCAATATGACACTTGGGGTGCAACAGCTGATCAAATGGGAGGCATGGGTGGAGGAGGAGGCCATTCAAAAGGTCCACAAGGATTCAGTCAGCAGTGGCAATATCAATCAACAGTTGATCCAGAGGAATTGTTTAGGAAAATTTTTGGAGATGCTTTTACAAAAGGCTCTTCTCATTTTGAAGATTTTGCAGAATCAAACTATGGATTTGGCGAAGCACAAGAGGTAGGAGTGGTGCTTTTGAATATTAATAAATTTTTATTTTTTATAATTTTTTTTGGAACAAATATTTTCTACTTTCTGAAGTTATATGTGGTCATAGACATACATAGGTTTAACTTTATTACTTTTAGTGAAAAGAGTAAACCCTATGGTAAATTGCATATAATATCTAATAATTAATTAATAGATCTAATAATCTAATAATAATAAAATAAAATAAAAATAAACTCTATGGACTATAAAAAATCTAGTATAAAGATTAATTAAATCAAAAATAGAAAAGGAAATGAACACATTGTTGATAAAAGAACTGAAGAAAGTTAATAGTCATAGATTTGACAGTTAATTTGGACAGTTATAGATAGAGAATAGTTTAAAATTATAGCCCAATTCAGGAATTAAGAAACTACTTTTAAAATTTATATTATTTCATACAGGCATACCTTAACACATATAGCATTTTCTTCATCATGTAGTAGAATCATCTTTTAATAGGTTAAGTATGACAGTTTAAAGCCATGCAGTGCTGGTTCATGGGCCAATTAATGAAGAGGTCAATTTAAATACTAAAAAAGCTTACAATAAAGAATTTTATATACCAATAATAATAACTTTTTAAAATCTAGTGTTTAGATCTAATGTTAGGTATTGTTAATTGTTTTTCTATATTTAGCACAATCGAAATACTTGACATCTTTTTTCCCATCTTGTTTCTTAAAATATATTTTCTTTTAATATTGTACAAAAGTTTGGTACAAAAATGTAAACACCTCATTATTAAAAAATATCAGTCTCTACTCATAAACCTAGGAAAACAATTTGAAAATAACTTATGCTTTTTCCAATAGTTGTTCATATGATGCAACTTTATGGTTCCTGTGTGTAAAGTTAATGCTACAAAAATAAGTAGTTCATATACGGTCAATGGTTTCCATGTAGAAATTCTTGAACAATGTCCACTACTAACAGAGTGTACTTCTTCCTCTTCTTCTTTTTATATAGACATGACTCTGTCTGTTTTTCAATGTGCCTCCAGTAAGTTGTCATTCCATCGTTTTCGTGGTCTTTGGTACTCTATTTGTTGTCATTAGACTTATATGATCGTTCCATTCTACTATTCTATTTCTTACCCAGTTTTGATGTTCTCCACCTTGCATATATGTCGTATATTTGTACTTCTAGCTCTGTCCCCTAGTGTTTTACCATCAATTTTTCTAAGTGTTTTCATCTCTGCTCTTTCTAACATCCTTTTTGCCCTCTCTGTGTCAGGTCTTGTTTCTGTTGCATACGTCATTATTGGTCTGATGACTGTTTTGTAAATTCTGCTTTTCATTTCTTTCCCGATATTCATCAGAGTGTACTTCTACAGCATAATTATTAGTCTGCAATACTATCATATTTAAAGGTGAATCATCTACTAACAATCTAAACCAGTCGTACGGTTCTTGACCAGCAGATTCTTCTAATCTACGTTCCACGTTTAGAAAATAACATTGCGGAGATAGGGCCATGTATTTCTTATGGACGATAGCAACGCGGCGTTGCCACGACACATACAAGCACAATTTAGGGTTGTATAATTTGTATTTTCGTTTCCACAAACAAGAATTAAATTAATGTTTTTTAGCGTAATTGACCAAAAGTGCCCATTCGAAACAAGAGATGAAAAGTAGGGAAAATGATTTTAATTAGATAAATAGTATTTACAAAAGATAATTTTATTTTATCTTTTTTTACGACAGTTTATTTGTTTTTCGGTGAGCCATGAATCATAGAAATCAGTAGAAAATATTGACCCTTGGAATGCGTATATCTAATTACTAATTGCAACTTAAAATAATATGATGTGTGTATGTCAGCTATTTTATGTCGTTCTCTGACTACATAATGATAATAAGGCTTTTATTTAGTAGTTATTCTGACTTTACAGTTAAATGTTAATTGAAAATGAAAATTTAAAAATTAAGCAAAGGGAATATCTTGGACATCCGTGCAAAAGAGAGTGTCTGAGAGTTTTGGCAACACTGATCTCCATAAGCGTAATGTTATTTTCTTAACTTGAAACAAAGAATAGTAATTTATTTACTTTTGTAAAAGGAATTTGCACATTGAAACTGTTGCGAGAGAATATAGGAGACAGCTGGATGAGGGACTAGAGGGTCTGAAAGCATGGAAAAATGTGGAGAAAGTGTGCACAAAATGTAGAAATATAATAATTGAGAAGGCATACGAAATTTTTGGGAATACCAAACCAGTTAGACAAAACGAATGGTTTGATGAGGAGTGCCAAGAAGATATCTAAGTCATTCCATTACCTCATCCTCCTCATCCCTTCATGATCTTTGGGGTCTGTCTCTTTCTTTTTTGTATTGGTCTCCAATCTAAAATCTTTGATATTCACCTTGTATCTGCTCTTCTCAAGTGTCTGCACCAAATTAAATGTTTTTCTTCAGTGTTGCTTAGTAGGTCTTGTTCTACTGCCATTCTTCATTTTATCTGGTATCTTGGTTTTGTTTTGGTTGTTTCTTTGCCAATCCTCTGCTCTGTAAGTCATTACTCTACATACCAAGATATTATATATTTTCTTATTTGTATTTCTAGTAACCTGTCTATATCTTCCTTAAATCTGTTTACAATATGTTATTATGTTCATTTTATTGCCATATATTACAATTAAATATTTCAGTGCTGTAATTTGGTATTTAAAACTTATATTAATATTGAATTAAAACTATTATTACTTTATTATACAACAATAATTACTTGTTAGAAACTATATGGATGAAAACTAAACTGGAGCTGATGTGCTAGCCCAGGGGATGATCATGTTTAATCTCAATTTCTATCTGACCTAAATATGCTGGGCTGAGAAAATTGGTTCATTAAGAAATATCTTAAAAGTGAAAAAGTACCTTCTTATCAAATAAATTATTATCGCTGTAAACTTAATATAAATACATCGGCTTGATTACTGAATTACAGCTACATAATTTTACTATCAAAATCCACATTTACAGTTATGATATGTCTTGTTTTTGAAATTTTTTAAATAGAACATTATAATGTCATTACTGCCATTTAAAAATGAACTAAAGTAAACAATCTTTATTTTGTAATTAATTCTTCTACTCTATTGCCAAATATATGGAACTTTTATCAGTTTCACTGTCAATGATTTCTTCGATGTGTTCTAATAATTTATTTTAGCAAATCTAAACTGCCTCTATTTTATGTTAAAACCCTAGCATATAAACTGGATAATGTCCCCTAAGAGCGTATAGTTCCAGTTTCCCTAAGACATTATTAAGTTGCCTTCATATATTACGAAGATCCTGGTTGTATCACATACATTTATATTGTTGAATTGTTGAAAATATAGTTTTTATGCGGATTTAAAAAATTATTTTAAGGAAAACATTAACAGAATGGTGACAATTTGGAATATAGAAACTATAGGGAAATAACCCTCCTTAATAATATACCTAGGTATATGAAATATCTTTGAGCTTGGCCAGTATCAAAGTGGTTTTAGGTCTGGCCAATCAACAATGGACCAGATTTTTGCGCTAACACTAAAATCAATTCATAATGTTAATTTATTTAACGGTACAAATATATGTATCACATTAAACTCATACAATATAATTGTCTTATATATAGTCTTCTTCATTATTCAGAATATTTCCAGAATTCAGTGAAATTGTCATAACATCAGCGATCAGGAACATAGCAAGAGCTGGTCTAACAATAGCTGTGATAAAAAATCTTTTCGAGTGTGCATACATAAAGTTTTAAGGTCATGATTTCTGTTTAATTTGTCACCAATATAGAGCTAATCCAGTTTTAATATTTTTACAGATTCTCCTCAGAATAACTTTCACTCAAGCAGCTAGAGGTACCACCAAGGATGTAAACATAAACGTAGTAGACAATTGTCCAAAATGTAGAGGATCAAGATGCGAACCAGGTACCCAAGCTACAAAATGCCAATTTTGTAATGGTACTGGAATGGAAAGTATCACTACTGGCCCCTTCGTCATGAGATCCACATGTAGATATTGTCAAGGTTCCCGAATGTATATTAAGCATAAATGTACTGAATGTGAGGGAAAAGGTTCCACTGTACAAAGAAGAAAAGTTAGCATTCCAGTGCCAGCAGGTAAGTGAGTCCTCTAAAAAGAATAAATTTATAAAAATAGACAATGTTATGTGTTCGTAAAAAGTTATGGGAGAAAAAATTGTGAGACCAATCATTTAAATAAAACGTAATATGGCACTTCGGGAGTGACCGAGAAGAGGAAGCTTTCTTAGTGTCTAGAGCCCACCAAACGTGGCTGACAGTGTGAAAATAACTACGCCAATGATGCGCATTCGTCATACAACGGACCTCGCACTGACAGTCCAGTTATTATCTACCGTTTGTGAAGTGAATAACTCGGTACAGTCTGTGAAACATTTTTGTATGAACCGCAAAGGATAGGCAATCCAAATTTTAATATCTGTATATATTAAATATGGAGTTTAAATCGAATCTTAACTGAAAAATTTTAAATAATCAGACACGGGAAGTGATAACAAATGTGATTAATTTTATGAGAAAAGAATCGAAAAACAATCAACCTTGTAGATATTTTAAAAAAGTACAGGAGCGTGTGGTTTTGGGAACAGGTGTTAGTTTAAGTAGCGTTCAAAAAATTGTTCATGAAATGCAATTAATTGAAGACAGTGAATGTTCCTCATTTGTAACACCAAACAAAAACAGGAAAAAAATTGCTTCAAAAACGTGCTTGATTCTTCGACGTTATATAATTGATATTGGTATAACACAAAAGCCAGTGCCAACTGTGAGACACATACACATAACATTTACAGAGAAGTACAACTACTCAGGTTCCATAGAAAGCCTACAAAATGTTATTAGAAAGATGGGATTTCATTGGCGAAAAACCAGAACTAATACAAATTAAGTGATATAAGGTTGAATGTAGTAGGTTTGTAGCGCAGGTAGGCGTTTTTGACAAAACCACTTTCACCTCCAGCAATCACTATCACAAAGATCTGTTCTTTAGACACCGGTTTTTGTACGCCCTCGCTTGAACTATCAGACCAGCTCTCTTGGCTTATATGACATGACTGTTCCCGTTACATTTCATAGTATATAAGAAATTCAGTGTCAAATGTTGAATATCTGGCTTTTCCATCAATAATTTTCTATTAACCTTTTATCAAATGAAATGCAGATATCGAGCACAGTTTATTCATTAAATCTTGCCCAAGTACTTTCGCTCCTAGAGCATCTTTAGGGACATTTCATGACACAAGGACAAACAGTTTAAAATTTTAAAATTCTATTCTATTCATTCTCAATCCTGATGCCAACCAATATGTAGTTTCGCAGTTTTTTCAAATTTAAAACTGTGTTGTGTAGTGTTAATGTATAATTTTATGTTTATGACATTCTCAATAGATTGTTGGATAGGCCAAATTTGACGAAATGCCCCTAAAGACGCTCTAGGAACGAAAGTACTTGGTCTCGATATCTGCCTTTCATTTGATAAAAGGTTAATAGAAAATTATCGATGGAAAAGCCCGATATTCAACATCTGAGACTGAATTTCGTACATACTATGAAATCTAACACAAACAGTTATGTCATATAAGCCAATAGAGCTGGTCTGATAGTTCAAGCGAGGGCGTACAAAAACCGGTGTCTAAAGAACAGATGTTTGTGATAGTGATTGCTGGAGGTGAAAGTGGTTTTGTCAAAAACGCTGACTTGCGCTACTAACCTACTAAAAAACGGGGTATTTTCATGATTCAATGAACTACAATGATATTACGAAGTATACGACAGCTCACCAAGAAACGACATCAAGATCGTACTAGGAGATATGAATGCTCAAATAAGCAAATAAATTTTCTTAGGAACCATTGGCAAACATTCACTCCATCAAAATACCAATGAGAATGGAGAATTACTTATCAACTTTGCCAGTAGAAAAAACATGATCATAAGTTTGACTTTTTTCCCACACCCCGACATATACAAAGCGACCTGGATTATGACTGGAGGAACAACCGCCAACCAAATTGATCATGTCTTGATAGAACAACGGGTCGCAACAAGCATACAAGATGTGAAGAGCCGAAGAGGGGCATGCTGCGGATCTGACCATATCCTAGTACAGATAAAATACATATGCAGAATTCAGAGAATCGGGAGGGAAAGACAGGAACAAAGAACAGAACAGTTAGATATACAAAAAATGTAACAACAAGATGTCAAAAAGAACTATGAGAGGGAAATAACACAAACACTGACAGACACAGGCAGTCTAGGCACCGAAGAACATTGGGAAGAAATCAAAACAATAGTTATTGACGCAGCAAGAAAAATCATAGGCAAGAAAAAGAAAAATACAAAAAGGGAATGGTTCAATGACGAATGTTATAAGGCCATACAGAAAAGAAATGAAGAACACAAGAAATATACGGAAAGAAGAACCAGAGAAACAAGGGCAAATTACCAAGATGCAAGACGGAGGGCCGATAAAATATGCCGAACAGAGAAAAGAAAATACGAAAAGCGCATTATACAGAAAATGAAAGAAAATCTTTAAATCAACAATATAATACAGGCATACAGATATCTACGCAATTTAAGAGAAGGATACACACTCCTAACAAATCTATGCAGAAATCAAGAAGGGCAAATAACCAGTGATCCAAAAGAAATAAAATCAGAGTACAACCATGAACTCTACCAACTATTCAAAGAGACACCGATCTCAGAATTCGTTAAACTTCAGAGACTTCGCTGGGCTGGTCATGTAATAAAAATGGAGACAGAAAGATTGTCGAAAAGAGCCCTAAAAAGTAAAATGCAGGGCGCAAGACCAAAAGGAAGGCCACGGAAAAGATGGGAGAATGAAGTGGCAGCGGATGCGCAAAATTTGCTAGGCGTGAGAACCTGGAGAAGATCGGCGCGGGACCGACAAGGTTGGAGGCATAGTTTGGAGGGGGGCCAAGGCCCAATTTGGGCTGTAGCGCCATTGGATAGAGAATGAACTACGACGATTACAAAAAGTGGCTTCAGGAAAAGCTGATTCCAAATTTGCCCATGAACATCGTTTTAGAGATTGATAATGCGCTGTATCATAACATACAAACTGATTAATATTCAACTACATCTTCCAGAAAAGCAGAAATGATATAGAATAAAGAACGTTCAGTTTTACGGTTATACCCGTATAACGCACCCGGCTTCTATGAAGCAATATATGTCGCTGGAAAACGTGTCAATTTTAAATTTAAATTTGTTCAAAGTTTGTGTAATGAATTTTTTAATTCACTTTTAGTCGAACAATCGAAAATGAGATGTGAACATGTTAAACAGATAGAACAAAGGTATATGGCATAGCAGCCAGCTTTTTACATCGTGGTGGATGACATAGTGATAAATGTAGGAGTCGATAGTGACAGTGATTGTCAAAATGACGAGACGGCCTCGGATTGAGTCAGATGGTTCAGAAATATTATGAACCTGAGACACTCATGTTGCATTTCTTCAGAAACTGTTTTTTATTTAGCTTTCCGCAGACGACTGTAGATTGTAGCAGTCGAAACGAAAGACCCCATTCGTTTTAATTTCCCAATCGTTTCTTCTTCTTCAAGTGCCATCTTCGTTCCGAAGGTTGGCGATCATCAGGGCTATACGTATTTTCGAAACTGCTGACCGAAACAATTCGTTGTTGCTACAGCTATACCATTCCCGTAGATTCTTTAGCCAGGAGTTTCGTTTTCTTCCTATGGACCTTTTTCCTGCTATTCACAATCGTTTAGAAACTATTAAAACTTTACGTTCTATATTTGTGTCTCCGATTGAACCTATATTTTAATGCCCACCCGCGCGTACTGTTCTTCTAAGGACTGGACGCACTGTACTTACGACTGTCCGCTTTTCCTTCTAAGTGCGTTCTCGCTTCATTGTTCGTACAGAAAATGGGAATTTCACACTTTCAGCTATGTTTGGTGGACTGTACGTAGCGATGGTTTTTAATTTAGTTTAATTTAATTTAAAAGAAAACCTTCATTTTTGAAGTGAATACTTCTTATAGCTCGGTATGATGCTTTTGTACGGGACTGAAATCATATTTAGTGTGCCTCAAAAAATTGAGACGCGTTCTGTAAACTTGCGGCATACAGTAATATAAATAATATACATACATACCTACATACTTATACACTTTTATAAAAATGATTTTGAACAAACGTCAACGTTTAACCAAAATAAAATGAAATAAAATTAAAAAATAAATAAAAATAATAAAATTTTATGATATTAAATACAATTAACTAAAATTAAATCAAATGAAATAAAATTATTTCAATAAAATAAAATTAAATTAAATTAAATAAAAGGAACAGAAATTAAATGAATTAACTAAAACTAAAATGTTAAATAAAATTCAAATAAACTAACTAAATTTAATTAAGATTAAATAAAAATTAAAAAAACTAAAATAAAATTAAATTAAAATTTTGAAAAATTAAATAAATCCGAATCGAATCGGATCTAATAAAATAAATTAAATTAAAAACCATCGCTTCGTGCGTATACGATAAGAAAGCTATGCTTATCCTCTTCAGTCACTCCCAAATTTCCACATCACTTTTTTTGTTTTTTTTAATCCATTATAATAAACTATGCTGATAATCAAAATTAAGTAATTCAACATAAATACAAGATAATAATGACAGTATTAATAGTGATAAATAAATTCCACATTGTATTTAACAAATTTTGAAAATTACTAAAACCATTAAACAAAATTTTGAAGAAAAAATTAATTTTTTTAAATTGTAAAGAACTTAAACTGTGTGGTGTTATTGTAAAAAAAATATTAACAATTCAGTAATAAGCAGACATAATAAGTATTGACTTGTGCCGGTACTATTGACCTAAGTGCCAGATGCCGTTTTTTTCTTTATACATTTTATTTTAGTTTGTTTTATTTTATTTTATTTTGTTAAGAAACACTCGTGGGACTTCATTTACTACTCCACGTAGTGTGTGGTCGCGCAATATTTCGTTACATTGTGTTTATTTTATTTTTATTTGTCACATCTTTGCGCGAACCATTGCACCGACCAAAGCATTCCGTCCGTAGCCTGCAATAAGAAGGCTATGCTTCCAAAAAACTTGTCTGAATCATATGTTAATATTTTCCTTCGGGTAGCTGTATGTAGGACCTAGATAAAATTTTAGAATTTAATATTGTCATCCCTTTTATTTTTCAATTTTTCATTTCCAGGCATCGAAGATGGCCAAACAGTTCGAATGTCTGTAGGAAATAAGGAACTATTTGTGACGTTTAGGGTAGATAAATCAGACTATTTCAAGAGAGATGGTCCAGATGTTCATACTGAGGCAGATATTTCAGTATCACAGGCTCTTTTAGGTGGTACAATTAGGATCCAAGGATTATATGAGGATCATACAATTCAGGTAATAAAAGAAATGGAATATAAAGAATGAAATAGTTATGTTTGTTTGGAATAGTTTTGATGCTTGTAGGGGATAATGTATTAAACACTAGAGGTTAATTGTCCTGAATTTAGATCTGCAAGAATCTAAACATAACTCTAAATTTTGCGGCTTAAGTACCAAATTCAGTAAATTTTTTCTTTCGAGATGTAAACGAAAAAAGTGCATTATTAGAGAAATTAACCTAAATTGGTTGCCTCCTAAGATACTGAACTGAATGTTCTTATACGCTCTAAGTATTGAAATTAAATAAAAACTCAATGTTAATTTAATACCGATATCATGCCATGTTCTCTGGTATACCTTACAACTTACAACAGTAATTCAAACATAGTCGACCTGGTGGGGATCTCATATACAGAGGTGGGTAAATTTTAATTAATAAAAATAAAAATTGCAATTATCTAGGAATACAGACTTTCTACCCTGAGTTTTGTAAGGTTATATTGTTGTTCAGATTCAGAGAACATGGTTGGGAATTATCTCCTATTCTTTTTCTTCTAAAAAAATACTTTTCTATTAGTATCCCTATGTTTGCCAAGCATCGATCAACTTCTCACTACAAAACCAGTGTAGTCTAAACAGTCTAGTAAGTCTTATCTCCTAATCTTTAGTGATTGTTTAGGAGAGCTCTCTTCCAACACAAGCAGAGAACAGAAGCAGAAATATATTCGCTAGGTGAGCTTTAGGGGTAAAAACCATTGAAAAATCTTAAAAACCACCCCTTTGGGGATTGAAAGTGGGGACTGAGCAATTACTGGGCTGGAGATAGGGTAAGCAAATAAACTGAAACTTTTGCGAACGGCTACTCTTGTTTTGGTTTGAGAGCTGGGGTAGTGAATAAGGGTTTCTTTATTTGAGGGACTAGAAGGGGTAACTACAAAGAAAGAAATAAAAAAATACTTACAGAGATTTCCTGGGCAATAAACACAAGAAGGTTCCTACACTATTTAAATTGAACTCCGTTTAAAAGAATCCTCTTGCTGGATAGAAAGAAATGCTTTTCTTTCTTTGTTTCACTGGCTGTGTATTTCTTTTAAGAAAGTCCTTGGGATTGGATACAAATTAAACACACTGTCGTACACAAATTGCAAATTGTCAGGGGTGACCCATGAAAACACAAAATAGACAAATATTTAAAAGGTCAAATATTGAATTGGGCTTCAGATTATCCTGGATTATAACAAAAGGTATTCTTGAAAACTTGGCTGCTTAATTCCTACTTAAAACCATGTGGACTTCTTAAAATGTTGGAAACGCGGGAAAATCAACTAAATTAATACATTTAATAATTATGTTTCTAGGATATGGAAAGTGGCTGAAGTAATCATAATTCTAAAGCCTGGCAAACCACAAAGTCTCGTCTTATATACCTACATCACTTCTGCCTGTTATTTTTAAACTATTAGAAAAATTCTTACAAATTTGGTTTTCGCAACAAACATTCGACAATACACCAAGTACACAGCATAGCCAATATAATAGAGAATTCACTGGAAGAGGAGAAAATAAGCTCTACAATATTTCTGAATATGACCCACTCATTTTAAAAAGTATGGTCTTAGAGTGTTTAGTTATAAACTAAGACAGCATTTACCAAAACAGTACTTAAATACTTGAATTCTACATCTCGGAAATATATTTCAGAATTAAACAGGAAGATACGGACTTCGAACTGAAATAAATTACAGCAGGGCCACCACAACCAATGATACCTATCTTAGCAGTATGCAAAACCAGCGAGGAAACGATAGGGAAATTACAAACAGCTGTTAATCAATTCTAAGACTGGGCAATTGAGTGGCGAATCAAACTAAATGAAAAAAAAAATCATACATGTAAATTTTACGAATAAAAACATTGAAAATACTGAATACAATACAAAAAATGTACTGGCTGATTGGACGAAATCCTAGGCTGTTTCTACATAATAAATTATTATTATATAAGCAAATACTGAAAAAAGCATTGCTATAAACAGTTATAAAAATTTTGAAGGAAAATGCCACAAATCAACAGAAAATATTTCTATTCAAACAAAAAAAATATATTAAATAATAGATACCTACTTACCGCGGTTCTACATACAATTTCTTCAATTGTCGTCGACTTTTTCGTGGGGCACATAAACGTCTTCATGAACTAAAGTTTGTAAAAACTATGAACACACTGGTTTGTCAATAGTCTGAATAAACTTTGTCCATTTAATAAGCACTAAATTCTCGTTCCCCTTTCAACATTATTTATGATCCTACCGAAAGAGTATCGGGTATATATCTGCTAGCTAGATATCGTTAACAAGGACAGTCTTTGTTGACGAAGAGAGATAACTATTAGTAGAGCTTTGAGCTCTTCTTAAAAAATGTTTAAACAAAATAGCTGCTTTGTGTTACATGCTATGTTAAAAGTTAAAACAAATTCGGAAAGTGGAAAAAATGATATAGTGACATAACTTTTTAATGTTTTTTAACGTTAATTTTCAACACAAAAAATTGAAAAAAAAATTGTTTAAACAATTTATTAATTTATAAATAGTTAGTGCACTAGAATTTTTTTAGACCTATCATATATATATATAAAAAAAAAGAATTATCTCAATATATAAAATAATATTTGCGTTATTTTATTTAAACTTTTACATTGGAATTTAGATATGCCTAGAATAGCTAGGAACGGCCTTAATACTACGTTTAATACATTCAGTTAACAGTAAATTGCTTGCATTTTCTTTTCATCTTATTTCTTATATTATTTGAATCTAATAAAATATTGTTAGTATTCTAGTGAGTTTTGTAGTAGTCAAATTAAATTTTGATAGGTTTGTCATTAGTTATATGATAATATGATAAAACAATACTCTATAATTTATTCTAGTATCTTATTAACATTTATTTACACATTAAAAATGGTACTAGGACCGGGTGTTACTTAGGACGGCATAATTTTCCCATACACTACAGATGATACAACTGAAAACTATTTGGTACTTCGTTAGTCGTTACATATAGGCGAAGCAATGAAGTAATAAACCTACCAAAGTTTTGCAATTGGATGGAACCCAATGAAACTTGTTAGATTTGATTTGTATGAGTGCCAGGAAATTTTGTGAACAGAAATGATGATATTGAAATGAAAATTGCCTTATTGAAAAAGGAAACTGCTACTTCCAAAGTGCATTTCGAAGTGATGAAAAAGGATAAATTTGTAAATCTGAAATAATTGACGGAAATATTTCGGGGGTTTTTGGGGTCACTGAACACGAATATTATGCCGACGAGTGTCTCCGAAGCACATGGTGCCCAGGATGAGCCTCATCTCGAGTTTTATCGAAATTCGATACAAAATCAGTGAAAACTCATTATTCAGAAGTTTTTGTGGTCGCTGAACCTGAACACTAATATTATGTTGGCATTGTCTTTGAGACACTTGTTGCACAGGTTGGGCTTGGTCTTTGAGAAACTTGGTGCACAGGACGGTGGCCTCTTGTACTTTTACGGGAATTTAATACAATAACGAATTTACACGAATTTTGTATCGAATGTCCACAAAACTCCAGGAGATGGGGCCGATCGTAGGTACCATGTGTACCGGAGATCATACCGGCATGATACTCGTGTTCAGAGAGCCTAAAAAACTCCATAGTAGTAATATTGAACTCATTTCCGTCAATTAATTCCAATTTTTCATTACTTCGAAATGCACTTCGGAAAATCCATTTTCCTTGTTCAATAATGCAGTTTTCAGCTCGACATCATAATTTTTGTTCACATGATTTCTATACTCTTGCTAACCGAATGCAATAAGTTTCATTGAGATCCATTCAACAGCAAAAATTTGGTAGGTTTTGCACTTTTTACTGCTTTATTTCCTCGCCTAAAACTATTTTTAGAGATAATCTCATATATCTGAGTTTACAGGTAATGCCCGGAACATCCTCCCACACTAAAATTCGTCTAAGTGGAAAAGGAATGAAGAAAATTAATGGTTATGGACACGGGGATCATTATGTTATATTAAAAATTAAAGCTCCGAAACATTTAAATGCAAAGCAGAAAGCATTGGCGATGGCATATGCTGAATTAGAACAAGATACACCTGGCCAAATCTTAGGAATCACTGTTAAGAAAGATGGTAAGTACCTAAAAGTTTTTTTGTGGTGTTTGGCAAATCGTGGAACGAATTAAAATAAAAAATACAATTTTATTCTAATCAGCCGTATACGAGTGTGGTTTTACAATAATCTAACAGCTTTCAATATTTGAAGAAAAAACAAGAATTAGTCTGTTTTTAATAGTCATCCAAAAAAGTCACTTTGACAATTTTTTTTTAATGCTTAACTTAAATATCGTTCAGTTCCGTGCTTCATGCGATTGGCAAAGAACTTTAAGGTGCTCCAGAAACCGTTACTATTCCAAAAAGCAACAATAAAATTAATAATTTGATCATCGCAAATCGAACAATCAAAATTCGCGAGGTAACAGCCGCGAATTTATTATAGCAGAATTAACAAGTTAATTGATGGTTTTGTTAAAATGATGCACTATCATTTATAGTGCAGAAGCGTATCCTCTTGATGGATGTCTACGCGTGTGTCGAATTCGGATAATCATTTGGCAACGATATAACGAAACACGAATGATGTTTTCGCTGATACGTGAGTTTTGATGAAATGTTGATTCATTTTTATACTTGGATACGAAGGAATAATTACAGGAGCGAAGAAAAGGCGATGAAGGCCCACGGAACAAGGCTAAGACTAACTAATCACCCAGAAAGGTGATGAGACTGTTTTTTGGAAATTGATTTTAGGAAAAACGCTTCGATTTATTTCATAAAAATTATCGTCCAACGAGAAAACACAAGGCGCCTATTGCACAAGCAAAATTACACCGCTCGATTAAGTTTCATGTCACTATTTTTCCTCTTCTTAAATAAAAAAAAAATGATAGTATGATACTCTTTTCTAAGGAACGATGAGACCATTTCCGAATTTCCAACATTATTTTGCCTCGGGAAAAATTATCTTCGGAAAAGGGATAATAAATAAAATAAAATAATAAAAATAAAAGCATTTTATCAAATATATTGAGCAAAAAGAGAATATCTAAAAAATAAATAAAAAAAATATTTTGTTTTCTTGTTTAAGTTAATTTATGTTAAACCCACTCGTACATCCATATTTGCCATTATTTTATTAAGGTTCCTTCTCCTATCGGAGGTTCAAAATCATAAGAATTCTAACTTTATTAACGGCTGTTCTGAATAATTGAGATTAACTCGTATTAAAATTAAATTAAATTTCTCAACCAAGAAATCTTCTTCTAACACTGCGTGTGACCTTTCTCTTTCCCTTCAATATTAGGTATGGTATTGCATATCTGGTTTCTAGCACCACCTTTCGAACACTTTTAATTTATGTAAGTCTGATTTTTTCAACGCCCATGCTTCAACGTCATACTTTTTCATTTTCATGAAGATGGCTAGCAAAGTATTTATATGGTCCTAACTTTTCTATTATCATATCATAACATTCATTAAAATAGGAAGGCTACGTTGGATTGGACATGTGGAAAGAATGGAAAAAGGCGAAATACCAAACAAAATATTCAAACAAGTGCCAGTAGGAAAAAGAACAAGAGGAAGACCGAAGCTGAGATACGTAGAACAAATAGAAAATGATATAACAACATTAAAAATTAAAAACTGGAAAAAAAGCATGAAACAGGTCAGAATGGAGAAGAATCCTTGAACAGGCCAAGACCCAAAAAGGGTTGTCGAGCCAGTGATGATGATGACCTTTTCTATTATTATATTAAGGATGGTTCAGACTTCAACATTGTTGTAGGATTTTTTTTCTTAACTTTACCTTTATTTCATATATATTGTATGTGCCAAATATAAGTCCGATGTTTTTTTTAATTACTTAAATTATATGCAGTTATAACCATACCAGCGTAGTGCATTGTTTGTTATGAACATTGAACTCACTAGAAACATTCTTAGTATTTTTACCTCTTCTGATAGGTCATTATCTATTTGTATTTTGACTTTCTGGTTTCAAAATCAATGCGCGATGATTCTGATATAATTATCAACAATATCTTTTTTCCTTAACATGTCAAATAAATTTGTCTTGCCTAACCTCATACGCTTTTTCAAAATAAGTAAAGCGTGTATATATGTCGTATACATATTCATGACGTCATTCATGTCTAAACTTCATAACATTAGCAAATCTATACCGAATATTGCCTCTTTTGTAACATTTGCATTTCTGAATCCTAGTTGGGATTCACTTTTAGATTTAGTTTTTTGCCGATCCGGTTGTGTATAACTTTCTCAACATCTCTAGAATCAAATGAAATCGTAGGCTTCCACGGCCAGAGTCAGAATTATAGTTTATTCGTCTTCCGGGTTTGGACCGTGTCATTTGTGAGTGACCCAAAAGTGGGTTCATCTCGACGTTTCGCTACAATTGTATGTAGCTTCTTCAGGAGAAAAAAGAAAAAGAAAAAGTATACAGGAATATGGGTTGTTAGCCACGGTAACTCAGTTACTCAACGCAACCAGAGGCGAATACTAACTACCAAGATGGGCATTTGGTCACAGTAACTCAACTACTCAACGCAGCCAGAGGTGAAAACCAAATGCCAGGACAGGGATTCACGTCCAACAGCTCAGAACACTAACGCGTCGAGAGGTGGGGAGTGAATCCTCACTCTCACTCACTCTCAGTGAATCACGCAGGGATTCACTCCCCGCCTCTCGACGCGTTAGTGTTCTGAGCTGTTAGACGTGAATCCCTGTCCTGGCATTTGGTTTTCACCTCTGGCTGCGTTGAGTAGTTGAGTTACTGTGACCAAATGCCCATCTTGGTAGTTAGTATTCGCCTCTGGTTGCGTTGAGTAACTGAGTTACCGTTGCTAACTACCCATCTTCCTGTCTTCTTTTTCTTTTTCTTTGTTCTCCTGAAGAAGCTACATACAACTGTAGCGAAACGTTGAGATGAACCCACTTTTGGGTCACTCACAAATGACACGGTCCAAACCCGGAAGACGAATAAGCTATAAATCTCTAGAATCCTTCAATATTTGGAGTATCCTTTAGCAGTCAAATATATGTGGATATAAAGTTTTGCTAATATTTCTAGCGGTTAATCATCAATTGGCTTTATCAACTCAATTGGTAGATCGTCAGCCCGTAAATTGTTTCTTTCTTTAGTTTGTTACTAAATTCAGCTACAGCTACTTCCGAATATAAAATCTGTGGTTCTCGTGTATGATCTCGTTTTGAGCCTGTTGGGTGCTATTACCATCGAATGATTGTGTAATATTTTCTGATCTGTCAGTTTTTCTCTATTCTGGATAGTTCTTTCAACTTTTTATGTACCTTAAAGCTACCATATTTCCTCTCATATATCTCAATGTGGAGGAACATTTTCTTTTCACCCAGGCATTTGTTTCTCTCATTTTGTTTTTTATTTCCTTATTGATTTTTTTACTTTGATATAGTCAACATTAACATCCCTTAATTTTATTGTTAGAAATACACTATTTAATTTTTTATTTCCATCATTTTCCTGCCTTTCAACCACATATTTTAATTTTGTTTTAATAGTTTTTTTTTAAATATGATCTTCCGTTTTAGTACTCTACGTAGATTATTTTATCAATTACGAAATTTGTGTATTTATCTAAAATAACAGTAACATATACAGTAGAAATTGTTTTTGCAAAACTAAAATCTTCTCTTCGCTGTCTGAGTCAGAATATTATTTTAGCTTCATATGAGTTTTACTTTCAAAATCGATGTACCTTAAAATAATTTTTTAAGAATTTCTACAACTCATCTGATTTCTATGAAAATATAAAACGTATGCACTCGGTCATGATGTGTAATTAAAGTTCTTCTTTCTTCTTGTAACTAAAACTATTAATAGGATTTTTGACCCAATGCAATCTTTTATTCTGAATTTAATGGATAGCTTTTTTAGATATTCTTTTTGATTTAGAGGACGTGTTGCTAGCGAAAGTTAACAGCCAAGGGAGCACGTCTGTTGCTACTGACAGTCAATAGTAGAGAGAGAGTCTTTTTCGTTTTCTATTTTAAAATTGGCTGTATTTCTAAAGAAGTGGGATTGAAGTGAGAGTAGGAAGGGTTGGAGTAGGATAGTGATTTTAAAATTAAGGCCGTTCCTTGCGTTTCTGGGCATAGCTAAGTTCCAATGTAAAAGTTTATATCAAATAACGCAAAAACTATGGCAGATATTGAGATGATTCTTTTTTTATAAGGAAGGTGTTAAAAAGTTCTAGTGCACTATTTGGTTGTAAATTAATAAATTGTTTAAACAATATTTTTTTTTCAAATATTTTTGGTTAAAATAAACGTAAAAATTTTTTTTTTGAAATAGGGCACTACAGAATTTGACCCACTTTCCGAATCTGTTTTTATTTTTAACATAAAGTGTAACACAAAGCAGCTATTTGGTATAAACTTTTTTTAAAATCTCAAATTTTGCTAAATATAACTTTCTCTCTCGGCCAGTACAGGCTGTCCTTGTCGATAGTTTCTGGATTCTCGCCGACGGTTAGGTTGGTTAGGTAAGAAGTATAATACCCTCTCGAAGGTGGGTCATAAATAATGTTGAATAACATTATTAGGGTTTATTTCGACTTTTGACAAACCAGTGTGTTAATTGTTTTTAAAATGGGTAATTCACGAAGACGTTTATGTTCCAATTGAGGAAATTTTATATAAATAAGCAGTAGGCGAATTTATTATGTAGAAACAGCGTAGAATTTTGGTCAATCAGCCAGTACATTTTTTTGTATTTCAATCAGAATTATTATTTTCTTTTCTTCTTTACATAAAAGCTTAGAGCTATACTCAAATATTTTGCAGTATTTGAATACGGAATTTGATTATTTATATTTATTGGACAATACCCAAATATTTTGCTGTATTTGAATATGGAATTTGATTATTTATATTTATAGGAATATTTATTTTGAACGTTTTTGTTAGTAAAGTTTACATAATATATGAAGTTTGTTTCTTCGCTTGCTTGTCCAGCCATATTAGTACAGGGTAATAAGGATTTTCTCGTGACACTCATTAATCCAGGTAGCTGA